AGAGAGCAGCTGCGGAGGGCCAGGCAGGTAATGCAGCTTGTATAGGCAGGCAAGCGAGGCAACAGTACGACGGATGGCCAGGCTAGGTAATAGTGCACCTGGACCGATGATTCGCAGAGCAAGGCGTTGGATATGATCCAGGCGTTGCAGGTAGCTGGGTGGAGCACCTATCCAGATGAGGGGGGCATACTCCATAACTGGTCGAACAAATGCCTTGTATACTGTGGTGCGGCCGGCTGGAGAGAGAATGTGCGCTGCACGGCGCAGGAAGCCCAGGCGTTGTTTGGCTCGAGTGGCAACCTTCCGGAGATGAGTGCTGAATGACAGCTTCGAGTCAAAGGTCACTCCAAGTAAAGAGAGAGCCTTCTCCTCAAGGACAGGAGTGCCGCCGAAGACAATGCGAGGCAAATTGATGGGGGTTCTGCGGAGAGTGGCGGTCATGGCTTGGGACTTCGACGGTTCGAAGGAGATGCGCCATCTGCGGCCCCACTGATGCAAGCGATCAACAGAAGTCTGGAGGCTCAATGCTGCGTCGGCTGGGGATGTGTCGAGGGATATCAGGCTGTACAAGGTAGTATCGTCGGCGTATGCCTCCAGGTGGGCTCCGGGTGACAGGGTCTCTGAGGCGTCGTTCACGTAAATCAGGAAGAGTGTAGGGCCGAGTATGCTCCCTTGGGGAACTCCTGCTGATATGGTATACAGCGATGAGGTTTGGCCGCCCACCAAGCATTGAATGGACCGTCCACCTAGGTAGGAAGAGAGCCAGGTATGCAGGGGGCCGCCAATGCCAAGATGGCGGACTTTGTGGAGGAGGCCAGCATGGGACACACGGTCGAATGCTCCGGCAATATCCACGGCTAGAATACGTGCTGCACCGCCTCGGCCGACGGCTGTGATCCAGGCGTGGTGTAGAGCCTGTAGCGCATCTGAGGTCCCGAGGCGGCGACGAAACCCGAACTGGTGGGGTGTCAGGAGTTTGTAACGCTCAAGGTGATTCATGAGCTGACGATTGATAACGCTCTCCATGATCTTAGAGATTATGCTCAGCAGTGAAACTGGACGATAATTCCTGAGGGCGGATCGTGAAGATCGCTTGTGGATTGGAACCACGCTGGCAGTCTTCCACATTTGTGGCTGGACTCCGTGCTGGAAGCAAAGAGCAAAGAGCTGACACAGTGGCTTGGCAAGTTCTCTGGCGCATTCCTTCAAGACACGAGCGGAAATACCGTCGGGTCCAGTCGCCTTTGAGGCATCCAGGCGAGCTAAAAGCCGGTGGACTGCATCCGGGCGAAAGTGGACTGTCGCTAGTGCAGGTGCGTCAGCGAATGCCGTGTCCGGTAAGTCCATCGTGGTAAGGTCGCGGCCTTGCACACTGCACTTGTGGGAAAAGAAACGTGCGAAAGCCTCCGCTTTCTCATAGCTTGTGGCCCTCTCGCAACCTTCACTATCAACGAGCAGGGGAATGTCAGTGTTCCGACCCTCGCCACAAGCACACTTTAGCTTCGTCCACCATTCCTTCTCCTTCAGGGACCCATTCGACAAGCTATGTCTGAGGCTGTTCTCTTTGGAAACTCTAGATCTAGCGAGGACTGCGATAGCATTGTTTACAGAATGGGTAAACTCATGTTTCAGTGCTAAATCGTGAGGGTGCTTCCTCCAAGTGCGCCAGCGTTTGTCCTTCTCCTTCATGGCGGCTGCACACTCAGGTGTCCACCATTTCGGATCCGTTGACTTCACTGTCAGTGTCTTGGACGGAACGAACTGGGAAACGGCTTTCATGATTGTGGCAGTAACGTGCTCAGACGAAGTTTCTGGGTTGGCAGTAATGACGGTTGACCAATCAACCTGGCGGAAAAAGGATCGGAGGCGGTTCCAGTCTGCCTTTTCATAGCGCCAGACAGTTCATTGCACCGCCGCTTCATGGGTAGGAAGAACACCTGTGAAGTCCGAAAGAATTACAGCGTGGTCAGATCGACCAATAGGGGACATTATCTGCGTGGTCACTGGAGAGTTGAACGTGGACATCACCAGGTCGAGTGTGTTATCCCCGCGAGTAGGACTCTGAACGTGCTGCGTGAGAAAGTGGGCTGTGCATGTGTCTTCGAGGGCTTCCCCGGCAGGTGTGGTCTTCGAGCTATGGAGCCAATTGCGGTTATGCACGTTAAAATCACCGGCGAGTATGAGGTTGGCACCAAGTGCACGAGCAGAGGGAATGATGTCATCGAGATGGTTAATGAGCGTAAGGTCACTGGGCCCCGTCGAACCTGGCCTGTAAGCAGCGCCCAAGACTATCTTTTGTCCAGGGGACAATTGAATGGATAGCCAAATGAGTTCGTGATGTGGAGAAAATAACTCATTAATTACCATGGCTGGGAGTGTAGATCTGATCCATACCGCCACTCCGCCACCGCGTGCTGTTCGATCCAGCCGGAAGGTGGTGTAGCCAGGGAATGTGGAGTCGGATGGTGGAACGGTTTCAGAGGAAAACTTTGTTTCCGTCACTACTGCTATGTCGGGATTATGCTGGTGCAGTGTGTGCTGGAACTCAGCTAGCTTGTTTCCTAAGCTAAATGCATTGGTGCAAAGGAGTCTGAGTGAACATTTAACGGTATTGTTATGAATGACAGAACTAGGCATGGGTGTAAAAATGAAAGGTAAATGTGTATCAAAGCGGTAAATTTCTGAAGTGACTTACTGCAGGACTTGTTGGCCACTCTCAGGAGATTTTCGTTTCCGTTTTTTCCGTTGCTTGGATCCAGTGGTGGTGGCACTCTGGTCCCGATCAGGTGTGACGCTATGGCGTGAACGCTTGGATCGGTTGACTTCCCACCCGCCAGAATCAGGATCATCGTCGCTATGGCCTCCCAGCTGTGGGCCTAGGGCTGTACATGCATCGCTGTCTGCCTTCTTGGCCTCCCTGTCGGAGTCGCAGGGCAAGTTAGACAGCTGCTGGTTCTCTGGCTTGGATAAGCTTTCGTTGTCGACCAATGATTCAGTATCAGCAGAAAGAGGCAACTCTTCAGACTCAGAGGAGCTGGAGTCGCTCTTGTCAGCTGCTGGGAGATCAGCCTGCTTAGACTTGGATGTTGGGCATTGTGATTGGGCTTTACTTTGCTGCTCTGTCTGGGCTGGGTTTGCGACCACATCAGACAGGAGTCGACGTGTGCGTTCAGTGTCTGTACATGTAGGTGACGTTGAATGCCGTGACTGCTGTGTACTACCGGTACTGGCAGTGGTACTGCGGGCCTCAGGGCAGTCCTTGGCAAGGTGCTCTGGCTTGCTGCAAATCCGACACGTGGGCTTTTGGCCACTATAATGTACGCGGAAAGTGCCTTTCCCGTCTCTGGATTTCACGTACGAAGGTACGGCTTTATTCGACCCCAGTACAAAGGTTGCAAAACGGACTCCGGTTGCAATAACAACGTTGTCCCGTACCTTAAGTTTACCGTGGCGGATGGCGCCCTGCACGGTACCGTATGGAGCAAGTGCGGCTGTAATAGTCCTTATGCACATTGTACAGATGTACGAAGTTCTGTACTATGGCCGTAGGTGTGTACATACCCGGTTGGGTGTTCATTGTGTGCTATACATGCGCGTTTGACCCATTTAGCCTCACAATTCATGGCAAACGATCACTTTTCAAGCCTTTTTCACTTTGGGATTGAACTAACGACTAGCTAGATCTCTGCCGGAAAAAGATTTCGTATGAAATGCCTTCATGGCCCATTTCATAGTGGAAATAGCAGTAAACACAATAGGGTCCTGCACATTCAACACCCAACCGGGTCTACGGGATTCTACAAGATTATACGGGATTTCGTGCATCTGTACAATGTGCATAAGGCCTATGGCGCCATCCGACACCCACACAGGAACATCGTGAATGTGCAACTGAACATGAGTGTTTTCTGTCAAGGATTTTGGAAGGATATGTTGTCCATTGATATGGAAGCCATTCTTCACGACTAACTGGGCAAGCTGGATATCTGTGAACGTTAATCTGCATTGGCCTACCGAACTGACCTGGATAGATAGGATGAGCTCAGCTCCTATTCCGTGTTGCTCGAGGCAGCTCACGTACTCGGCGAGTTTCAAATCCTTTGGAGCTGGAAATAGCACAGTTCGGGCCATCAGGTCCCTGGCGCTTACTTTCCGCCATGGGTCGACTTCAGCTGGTTCCCGAGATGTATCAGTGGTCTCCATGATCCCGGAACGGGCATATGTGGGGCTAAAACGCCCAACCACGAGATTTTTTCAGAGCTAAAAAAAGCTTTACCACACGTCACTGAGACAAAAAAAAGGCTTCGTTCTAAATCTTGCATTTTCTCCTGTGCTTTTTTCCCCTCATGCTTATGCTTCCCTCCCGAATTTGGTGCGCCTGCCATGTGAAGATGCCGAGACCTCTGGTCGGTTGAGCATGGCAAGCCCCACCAGCATCATCTCACCCCATGCTAGCCCCATGTGCCTGCCGGTGAGTTGTGTATTTTGTAAAAAATAAAAAAATAAACTTGGTCCGACCACTCGGTGCGCCACGAGTCTCAGCTAACAGTTACATGACGTCCTGGAAGGATAGCCACGCACAAAGAACGCTCAAGAAGGTTGGCGCCGTCGTTTTGCCAGCGCACTGACGTGTCACCACCCTAGCATTTGGAGGCTCATCACCAGCCTTGCAGACGAGGAGCGCAGCGCACTCTCTCTCTCTCTCTCTCTCTCTCTCTCTCTCTCTCTCTCTCTCTCTCTCTCTCTCTCTCTCTCTCTCTCTCTCTCTCTCTCTCTCTCTCTCTATCTATCTCTCTCTCT